GACAAAGGTATCCAGCGACTGCATGATTGCTTCACTGTCGTCACCACTGGGTTTTAAGTATTTATTCCCTTTGTCTCTTTTGGAAGAGAAAATAGAAAGTACAGCTTCAGCAAAGTAATCATGTCCTCTTTTTATTTTTTAAACAGACTGGCTTCTCCCTCTGTCCTCGCTTGTAATTTCACCAAATTGTACAAGTGTTAAACACGATTTTTAAAAAAGAAAAAAGAAGGGGGGGAAAAAAGAAAGAGTAAGCAATTGAGAAGGAAGCCTGTTTGCCAGGGCAAATCTCAGCCTTCCTCCCCTAATCGCGGGGCCGAGCAGAGCCCTCATGCCAAAGGCAGCCCCTCGCTCGCTGCACCGCACTTGGTTAAAGCCATGTGCAGGCTGCGGGTTTAACCAGGCGCTGCTATGAGCAAATGGGCTCAGCCCCGGCTGCTGAGCTGCTGCCAGCTCCGGCTGCCTCCTCCCTGCCCTGGGGGGTTTTAAAGCATTAACCTTTGGTCGAGGCACCGTTTCCTTTCCCTGCTCCTGGTGCAGAGCAGGGAAGATGTATCACCATGTAGGTGACCTGGGCAGGAGAATGCTGGTGCCTGTGACTGTAGTGCTGCACCCTCACAGCACTCCCTAAAGTGCTCATCCCCACCAGACCCATCTCCAGAGCTGCCCCATGAGCACCCCAACCCTGCTCTGCTGCCCCATCCACACAGCCTTTGACAAGGCTCAGTCTTCCCTGATCTCCCACTGACTCCAGGCTGTGAGCTTAGCCCTTCTGTACACCTCCATCCCATTCCACATGCACAGCCAGGACCAGAAGGGTCTCCACCCTTGCCCCACACCACACAGCAACAGGACAAATGAGTCTCTGATCCTACCCAAAAAGCCCCAAGGTAAATAGCAATGATTAAATGATTATGCTGGAGGCAACAGGGCTTACCCATTTAATTGTATATAAAATTAGACATTAGACCTGGTATAGATGCCTGTGTTTTGTAATAAGGAGAGAAACTAATCAGTTTAAAGATGAGCGCAGTCCTTAAAGCATGGTTAGATCCCATTTACTCCATTGAACAGAATGGATGGATGGTTCATGTTGTAAAATGGTTTTATAAAATGTAGTGAACTGTACAATGACGTGTTTTATTTGCCTCCTGTGGTTTAGATTCATATTTTGCTTTAGCATAAGTTAAACAAAATTAAGACTACGATTATGCTAAGAGGATGTAGCCAGTAAAGACAGAAAATGTTGAACTCCTCAAAGTCGTAAAGAATTATCAACTGTGCAGTTAGTAAAGGCTGAACATATACACTGAAGTCTATTAAGTCATAAATTAATGAGAAAAATGTAGTGCTTGGCAATTTAATGTGTATATTTGTCTTAATTATTTTAAATTAATTTCTATTGGCTACAATCATTAGAAAATTTAAGATTTAAGTAAGGTACGGTATAAACCCTCCTATAAAGTAAATCTAGTTATATAGCCAAACTATCTAAAAACTTATTTCAGCTACTGAAAAGAAGTAAGAAAGGTTGATGAGCAGAGTGCTGGGGACAGTTTGGAGCTCCCTGCAGCCCATTTCCTCTGATGCTGCCCCAGCTTGAGCACCTTGAAGCCCCTCTACTGCTGTCAGGGAGCACAGATCAGCCACCTCCAGCATCACAAGAGCTCACACATCTCCTTTCTGGGCACCTCAGGGCAATTTTCTCCCTCAGGTTTCCATTTTTCTAACATGAAAAAAGGGAACTTGTATTTTAGAGGAATTTCTTTCAAAGTCTCAGGTGAAAAAGCTGTTATTTGCCCAATTCTAATTGTCATTCTCAGTCAAGAGCAGTGTGCCCCAACAGCCTTACCCAAGATGATGACAGAGGCAACTGGAAAATGAGTGAGCAGAGAAATTCTCCCCAGGGAAATGAAACAGTACCCAAATTACCATAATATCTTCTGCATCTGCAAGGAAGGAGACATGTTCCTCCAGGACTCTACTCTTCATCACTAATATTATTATTAAATATTTACGTACCACCCTAAGTTTGCATGACACAGAGATAAAAGATGCTCTCTTTGCACTGAAGATCTTAGAGCCTACATCAGACAGTGAAAGTAAAATTAGCAGAAAGAAGACATGATGACGATTAAGAAAAGGATCTAATGCTGGTGACCCAAAAGCATTTTTAGATTGTAGCAGCGTGGGGGACTAGGGCCCCTCTGCTGCCTCCAGACGTGGAAGGGACTTGGCAGCCCCAGCAGGAGCCAAGCCCACCCTGCAGCTCTCTCTCTGCAGTGCTGCACCCAAAACTCCCTGGGATGGGAGACTCTGAAGGTAACAGCAGCAAGGACAAGGCCACCAGGCTTGAGAACAAGGGGCAGTGAAAGAGGAGAGATGCTGGAGCCTCCACCACAGGAGTCCAGCTCAGGTGGCAAAAACCCCTTCTGGGTCCTCACTGCCCACCTGTTATTTTCATTCACAAATTTGGTGATCAAGAAAAATACATTTTCTGCTTTTTATAATTTTTAAACTAATCTTAGCATAATCAATGGCAATGCAAGCTTTCCCCAGATTTCTCAGAAAATACACATGTGTTGATGGACCCGAGGCTTCATGCAGAGAGAAGCAGCAGCATACATCCAATCCCCTGAGACAACAAGAGGCAGGACGTGCAGGGCAGAGGAGGTGCAGTCTGAGGCTTCCAGCAGCACAGAGATGCAGGCACACATGCACACAGACACACACACACACATATATACACGTGCACACACACATATAAAATGCTCCCAGCAATTCAGTTAGATTAATTTGCATTGGCTATTCCATTATTTTCCTGGTAGAGTACTTAAAGAATCAGGTTAAGCCTTTGCATTAGATACACAAACAATGCTCCTTTACCTCCACATGGGTGTTGTGAGACTTTAATTAATGTTTGTAAAGTGCTTTCAGATCTGCAGAAGAAAGGCACTATAGAAGTGTATAGTCTGATTATTTCACAGCATACAAAAGTAGAGGTGAAAAGAAGTAGTCTCCTCCTTATACATAAAACTACTGATCTCAACTCCTGCATTAAAAACACCCCAAGATGTTAAAGAAGAAAAGAATTCTGACCATGAACCTACTTCAGGCTTCCCCTTTGCCTTTTTCATCTGATTTCTGGTTGAGTGAAATAATAAGCTATTGTATTGCTGTAAACTCTTTGTAAGTAGATTTGACTAAGACAACAGAGTTCAGTGCCAGCAGCTACTCTGATCATTCTTTTAAATGGAAATTTACCGTCTGCTGCATCACATGGAAAAAATATAGAACTATTTTTCACAGCTTGTTCACTGAACAGATTATTGGAGGGAAGAAAAAATAAAAAGGCTTCATTTTCTACAGATCCCAAATCTTAGCGTAGAAAGTCTTGGCAATTTCCTTTTGAGAGGAGACAGATTTCACTTTCACATTGATTTAACAATGAGAAGTGCATCCAAAATGAGGGCCTGATTCTGAGCATTTAAATGGTTAGCCATAGCTGACTCCACAGCTTATCTATGGGAGCAAAACCGCTCACATCAATAAGCCTTTGTAGGATCTGGTCCTAATATAGAACCAGTTCTCAATGTCATAAAATCTTTTTTAACAGCATCTTGTGTTACATTTAATTTATTTCACATGGCCTCATAAAATAAGATAAAAGCTGGTAAGTCTAAAAGTCATATTAAAAGGATGGAAAAAAACCTCCCTACCATGTATTTGTGTTTATTAAGTATTATCTTCATGCAACTTACATACTTTTAACTCCAGAATTTCCAAATTGTTTCTAATCCTAATGGCAGTCATCAAGAACTAACAGTGAATAATGCAAACATATTACAACACACTCACTTTTTGGAAATGAAATCCCTTCCCAAAGCTCTCACCAGCCAGGTCATCCCTTTCAGCTTGAGGCAGGAGCGCAGGGCCTTACAAGGTGCCTTAGCCCTCATTTGGGTGGGGCACGGACCAATGTGGTACAGCTGTGTAATTTCCAAACTTAGCCCAGGAAGCTCCTGGATGACAGGCACAAGAAACCCTGGCTTGCCCCATGCATGGTTTAATCTGACAGCGGCCTAAAAAGTGTACAAGCATCTGTTCCTTAATACACAGAAAGTCTCCAGACATAAAAAAACATCCTTGGAGCCAAGAAGGATTCACTTTTTTAATGAAGGTGATAAAGTGCTTCCCCTCCACCACTGAAAATGTGCTTTCTGCTTCTGCCCAGGAAGGGGAAGGAAGGGACTGGAGCCACGGTCCCCAGGACATCAGCACCACTGGTCAGAGTATGGTGCTAATAATGCCAACACTGTGGGTTTGATCCCATAGGAGCTATTCACCTAAGAGTTGGCCTTGATGATCCTTGTGTGTCTCTTCCAACTCAGAACGTTCTGTGATTCAGGGAGAGCTTACCTAAAGCCCAGGGGACACAGCCAGGGCTTCCCAAAACACATGCATGGTAGCTTCTGGTATGGTGTAGCTTGGCTTTCACAGATTCCCTACGAAAAACAGGCTCCTTTCTCAGTGGCTGAGAGACAATGTTCCTGGATCCTGGGGGATAGGTGGATTCAGGGATGCAAGTCAGGGGGTAAATCCTGGTCTACCTTTAGGGCTCCCAGAGGTGTGTGTGCATCTGAGTGGCTGGGTGTTTCTCCAAGGTTGGCGGTAGGGCAACCAAATGCCAGGTGGGCCACCTTTCTATTCACAGTATGGGCCCCTTACTTGTGCAAGAGTATAGCAGAATTTATTATATAAGTGCCTTCAGCATCTCAGAACATGTCAGTGACCTTAGAGAGCTAGTGGTATAAGTACTTGTTTGCCAGCAAGAAAAAAGCTAAAAATTGAAAAATGCCAATATTATGGTATACGAGCTAAGGCAATGTTCCATTAAAAAAACAAACCACAAAACAAACACACACACACAAAGCACTGGCTCTTTTTTTCAGCTTACATTTCCTTAGTTTATCAATGATAACCATTACCATAAGAAAACTTACCTGATGCTGCTGCTAGGAAAATGGTTTCACTACAGAAGGCCAACACAGATGTCAATGTTTGAGGAACCAGTAGCAGACCCACTGCCTCTCCCCCAGGATGCACAAGCCAGAGGCAAACCCAGGGGCAATGTGGTAAACAAACACTGTGCTTCCAACTCTTCCAACTTACGCCCTGGAAAAGAAAAGTTACTTTTGATGAACTAAAAGAATTCCTGAGGACAACTTGCAGTAAAGATAAACTTTAACCATGATCTGACATGACAGTCAATAAATAACTTCAATATAATCACAGTACCTCTTTGGTAGGCAGTGGGCTAACCCAGCCAGAGATGCTTTTAGAACATGGCTGTTCTCACCAGCCCTTGATATTTTTCTTGCGATCCAGCAACATCACATTGAAAAACCTACGCCACAGCTGTCAGGGCTTCTCTCCAGCAGATAATTAAATTCCATTGTGACAAGTGAGCTCAAGTTTAGTGACACCATCCCTGCCAAGCAAACAAGAATGAGAGCCATCAGCTGCACAGACGTTGATCTCTTTGCTGAAGAAGAGATGCCTGCAAGTACTTACCAGCATCCTCCCAGGGTAGGTGCTCAGCCCCCAGGAAGTACCTGATAATAACATGAGTATGTCTCAAAGGATGATTGTGCTGGGAGCAATGTGCTTATGCAAGAAGGCCTGACAAAAGTGGACCAAGTCAACAAGTTTAAAGGACATTCAAGATGTTTTCCAAACCAGAAAAATTCAGTGTTTATCTTAGGCAGTTGCATGGTAGGCTTATGCTAAATGCAAAATAGGAAGCCATCGGTGTTTCCTCCCATGGACTGCCCTCTCAGGTTTCCCTTCTAGGTAAAGAGGTGCTTTTTTCCTCATCGTATGTACATCCTATATTTTTGCAGATATGTCCATTTTCCTTAGAATATAGCTTTTAAACATAACTTATTCATCAAAAATCAAACTGCACAATAACTAGTGTTAACAACTACCCTTCCTTTGCTATATTGCTTCATATGTAAATCTGTTATTTCTCAGCTTATTACTGAGCTATCCAGTTTTAAGTGCAGCTGGAGGAAAGCTGCATTTTTTCCTCACAAGAGAAGAATACTGCTTCTCTGCTGGCATCCCAAAGAGACTCCCCCAGTTAATAATGTGTGGCCAGGTCTCACGTTTAAGAACTGCACGAGCCATATCTGTTCACTTACTTTGCTCATGGCTCAAGTGTTTCAAGGCAGCATTCCTGCTGCAGTAGCTCCAGAGACGCTAGTGGGATGTCACAGTTACATCTGCCTCAAACGTGCTGTGCCAGCCAGAGAACAGCTCAGATCCCACACAGCCCCCAGGCTCTCCCCTGGTACACAGGAGGAGGTGTATCTGGCCTCCAGGGAGGCACTCCAGGAGCCTACTGCGGAGCCAACAGCCAGAAAATGCAGCGCATTTGAGCAGGAAATTAAACCTGACTCTCCCATAGCCTCAACAAAGGGCTCAGCCAGGCTGCTGCAGCCAGTCTCTCGGCAGTGTCTCCATCCCCTCTGAGAACTGAGCACTAACACACACATTCTGAATCAAAGCCGGCTGCCCCAGTCCCTGAAACGTCATCACTGGCAGCTGGGGGGAGGAGGCCTGAGGCTTGACAGCACCTACATGCTGGGTGTAGAGACTTGAAAACATGGCTAAATCAGTTGGCCCCTCTCTAGATCTCCTCCTAGGCTCCCAAAATCTGCGTTTATTCATCACCCTATGTGCTTTGCTAGCAGCATTGGCTTCTCTGCTTGTCAACACGCCGACTTCTGAATTCTCAGTGCAAAGGAAGCCTTTCATGGTTTGGCATCTTCTTATATGTTTATGCTTCTCAGGATATATTCTCTAGCCAAGTCTTTAAGTTCTTACATTAGTCCCCAAGCCCAGACATCAATATGTTGCTGATCAGGTCTTTTCACATCATGCTGCTTTTATCTGGAATGTTGTTTCTGATGTATCCAGGGAAGCTGATGTTTTAAAGAATGTGGTTAATTAATCTTTTTCCTTTTTGTTTAAAATAACACTTGAGCACAGCTATTTCTTTTGATATAAGACTTCAGCAAGAAATTTGCCTTCTAAATGCTATTATGCTGGGGAGGTCCTGATCTGCATCTTTGTCCTTGGATAGCATAGATGCAGCACAGGGGTCCACAAACAGAGATTGATTGATTCCCCCCACCCCTCCCTTTTATAGTCTACAATAAAAAGTTTCTTTAAAGGGGAAGAAAAGAGAAGCACATGCTTAATATTGAAGAATAGCCTGCTTGTGCTTGATACATTGGAGAAACAGTTCAAGAACACTTCATCCTCCTGCAACTATTTCCAGCACTTCTGCCAAGGTTAGGGAAACCTTGGGTTAGCTGCTGCCTGAATACCTTGGGCTGGTATCACTCTGAACAAGTTCAACTGACTGCTTGGATTTCCATCTTTATTCTGCCTCCTGTTGTCTTCCCACTTTGGCAAATAGAAATCACCTTCGACTTTGGGGGAGGCCTCAGCTGAAAGCATCCAACAAAGAGAATTCCTCAAGAGATGCTGGTTGGGGGGTCAAGGTCCTTTCATTGAGGCCCCAACTCAGCTGTGCTGGTGATCAGCCATCTGTCATAAAAATAAGACTGTAGATCAGCCTGGTCTGGGATCAAGTGGGTCAGAAAACACAACAACATAGTCTCATAAATGACTGAAAAATTAGACACAAAAAAAAAAAAAAGCAAAAAAAATCCACATCCCTCATACTTAAACTCCCCTTTTTTCACACGAGTCGAGAAAACAGAAGTAACAGAAAGAAAAAGAATCAGGCAAGTATGACAAACTTTACCTCATCTTTCATTTTGGCTTTAAATGAAAAACACTGCTTGCCAGAACAATCCTCGGATGCCGATTGGTTTTGCGCTCAGCTCCTCTGACGTAGGAGCCAGAGAGAAGCAGCACAGGACAGAGAACAGAGCGACCGACAGCTCCCAGCTCCCAACAGCTGCGGGACAAGCAGCCCAGCACGGCTGCAGATGGAGGCTGCAGTGCTGCTCCTGCACTCAGCCAAGCTGCCCCTCACACAGGAACCAGCCCTTTCACTGTCCTTTTGCACTGCTCTGGCTCTAAGGGCTGCATCAGTTTGTGTCTCTTATGGCAAGAGGCATGTGGGTAAACCTGACCTGCTGGAAAATAAAAGAAAAATACAGCAAATTTCCCCTCTAATGGTTGGAGGTTTTTGTAATAAGAATCATGGTAACCACTGCTTTTTGTCACAGGACCATGGTCTGGGCCTAATTTTAACAGCTTCAGTCATTTATATATAGAAAATGCAGAAAATGGGTGTGGAAGAACTCAAGCACTTCAGCAGATACAGGAGAGCAACACCTTCTTCAGTGAGCTCCCTTGGGGAAACTGCTGAAGGCACATTACCATGGCTACCTACCTTAACAGACAACTCTCTTTTTTCCCCCAGTTATTTCATGGCAGAAGAAGGAACCCCAGTGCCAGCTTTCTTTTTCTCCTTTCTTCCAGGAGGGAATGCCAACAGTGTTTCCTGCTGGCCAGCCCACCTCCTCCCATGGTGTCTGCATTCACCAACCCCTTCAAAATCTCCTGTGGGCCTGGGGCTGTCCCGCCTCTGCTCTCTGGGCTGCTGCAGATACCCTGGGGATGAGCTGCCCAAACCCTGCCACCATCCTAGAGGGCTGTCAGGGAAAGGGCCCTGCTGGGGGAAAGTTCAGAAGTGGGAAACAACATGAGAAGAATCAGAGATAATGGGGGAAGAGCACAGGTTTATTGCCGAGGAGATTTCTGGAAGGATCAGGGTACATTTCATGACTGCCAAGTCTATTTTATGATACCCTTTTTTTTCCTTTCTGAACAATTGTGGTTAGAATACCATTATTGGCAGTAATGCTACTACTGGATAATAAAGCCTCACAGACTGGTCTGGAGCTCATGCAAAGAAATACAAAGATTCCCATTATCTTTGTCTCAGCTTCACAAGGAATAGCCAAATTACATAATTAAACACATCTACAGATTTATTTCTCTCCAGTTAAAATTTTTGCTTCCTAAAAACATTGTGTCTAACCTCATCAGAAAGAAAAGAAGGAGAAGTAGAGGGTGAGCAGGGAAAGGAAAGGCATCATATTCATAAGCAGCTTGCAATGTTACAAACATGAGAATAATCTTTTTCTAAAAAAGAAAAAAAGCACCACTAACTTTTTCACATTTTAGCAAACTTTTCAATTAGGATTTCTTCCTGGCTATTTAAATATGCTTAAAGTAATGATTTGCTGTAATTTGTCTTTTTCCTTTGGAAACATACCGTGCTATTGTCAGCTTTAAAAAAGAAGCAATTTTCTGACTTTTGAGATTGAGTAGGTCACGGAAAAATTACTACTGTGGGAGCCTATAATTAAATCGAAAATGCAGCTGCACCTATAAAAAAAAAATAAAATTAAGTTTATTCTATTAATACTTGAGTCTAGAATTGTATTTGACTTTTCAGACACAGGTCAGCTCAAACTGTACCTTAACTGCAGAACTTCAGTAGCTGCACAGCCCCTTGCAAAAGCAGACATGGTTTAGTACATACAGACATATTTGCTGGTATCTGAATTAGAGTCAGTGTAGCATGATTGTCATTTTCACACGTAGAACCTTTCTTTCCTCTTTTCCTAGAAACGGCACTACATCTTTGGGTGTTGGTTTTGTGCTTGTTTTTTTTTAAGAAACTCAATTAAAATAAATCCAGGCAAAATCACTAATGTTTACTGTAAATTTAACTAGAAGAAGTACAGAAGGAGGCTTTTGAGAAAAATAATGTAAGTGCATCTGAATTGAATAAAGATCTTTTCCCAGAATTTGACTAGTCATGAAATGAAAACAAGGTTCTATACACTACCATGACACAAAACCAGGCTTTGTGTATTTATAAATAAAATTTATTATAGATCCTGACTGAGTGTTCACATGGTATCAGATACAGGCTTTGAATTAAGTATTAAGTGAAAATTTTGAAAAAAAAATTGTGACCCACAAGAGATATTAAAACACCTAAAATATACAAAATTGACAAAAGCCTCACCAAGAAAATAAGATACAGATGTTGTCTAACAATTCATGAGACTTATTCTGATGTCTGATGATAAAAAATACTTCCACTGAAATCTTCAAGGAAATCTATAAAATCAAAGAAAAACAAATCAGTCTAAAATAATGGCATTGATTTTATTTATTAATAGTAATAAAAATAGCTTTTTAAAAATAATTGCATTGAGGATTATTACCTTTCATGATTTTCTAGGGTTACAATAGGTGACATTCTACAGCTCTTCTGTATGGCATGATTCTATGTATTACACAATAATTTATAAAACTACATTTCCTTAAAACCTCCTCTAATTCACTAAGTTTAAGGGTTATTTTTTTCCTTTCAACCAACAGGAAGGAAATTCTTCTTCTTCTTTTCATCAGTCAC